GCGCTTTACCAGGCTACTTGAGTACTACTTTGAAGCAACTCTGGGAATGCCTGGGCAATCTGTAATGTCGGATCCAAATCACATCAATATAGATGAGGATCCGACTTGGAGGCGATTTCCATTAAAGTCTATGGGCACAATTCGGATAGATATCGCCTTAAAGTAGTACAGGAACCTTTTCTAAAGTCGGAGCGACTTCAGTAGTTAAGACAGCTCTCATTGACTAACATGGGGATGTCACATGACATGCGACTTGGGGTCTCACAAGTCAGATCCTAAGCCACGGCAGTGTGAACTGAGCCTGCAGCCCATTTAAAATGAACCTTAGCATGCCTCAAATCACATTTGACCCTTTTTGTAATGCAGGGTGACGTTCAATATGTGTGACACTGCAATGCATATCATGTGCGTTAATGCGTGTTGCGGTAATACCAGGGGTGGACAGACCATTTGGAAACTTCGGCACTGCCCGAGGGTCCGGGGTCAGTAGGGGGCCCCATGAGATACCCCTGGTACCTTTTTCATAGGCTTTTTTGAGTTTGGGCAAGGACACAGGGGCCCCATGATCCCTTATTGCCCGGGGGCCCCATGAGTTGTCAGTCCGCCCCTGGGTAATACATCCGGTGACGCCAGCTCCCCAGGGACCCCAACACAGAAATGTCAATCGGGCATTAGCCTTCAGCAATATCAGGATACCCGGTGGCTGGGACTGAACTCATGATATTTAGTGCAGGTCAATGGACTTTCCAGAGCTGGGAGCCTGTTGTATTTTTCTCCAGTAATATGCATCGTGTTCATTTATAGCTTTGTTCTGTGAGTGACCATTGAACCTATCTGTCATCCTCCGTGTATACGCTGTCACTAAACCCTGCTATATTCCCATTTATAACCTGCATTGCCTCTCACCTGATTTCTCCAGAATTGTTATCGGACTATTAGGCATTTCAAAGTCACACTCACTCAAGAAAAGTCAGTTCCTTAAAGCGACACTAAACTTTGGTTTAAAATAAACAAATTCTATACAAGTATGTATTTTTAAAGTGATTGTAAAGGCAATTTTTTTAAACTAAAATGAAAAATTTTATATTTACCTGTTCTGTGTAACGGTATTGCACAGAGCAGGCCCTTACTTCCTCTTCTGGTGTCCCCTGCTGCTCTATCTGCTCCTCCTCTACTTTGGGTGCCACTATAGCAAGTGCGGTGCTGAGGGGGCACCCATACAGGTGTGCTACTGAGCTGGGCTGTGTGCATCCATAGGTGCGCTACTGAGCTGGGCTGTGTGCATCCATAGGTGCGCTACTGAGCTGGGCTGTGTGCATCCATAGGTGCGCTACTGAGCTGGGCTGCGTGCATCCATAGGTACGCTACTGAGCTGTGTGTGCATCCATAGGTGCGCTACTGAGCTGGGCTGTGTGCATCCATAGGTGCGCTACTGAGCTGGGCTGTGTGCATCCATAGGTACGCTACTGAGCTGGGCTGTGTACATACATAGGTGTGCTACTGAGCTGTGTGCATCCATAGGTGCGCTACTGAGCTGTGTGCATCCATAGGTGTGCTACTGAGCTGGGCTGTGTGCATCCATAGGTGTGCTACTGAGCTGGGCTGTTTGCATCCATAGGTGCGCTACTGAGTTGTGTGCATCCATAGGTGCGCTACCGAGCTATGTGCATCCATAGGTGCGCTACTGAGCTGGGCTGTGTGCATCTATAGGTGTGCTACTGAGCTGGGCTGTTTGCATCCATAGGTGCGCTATTGAGCTGTGTGCATCCATAGGTGCGCTACTGAGCTGTGTGCATCCATAGGTGCGCTACTGAGCTGGGCTGTGTGCATCCATAGGTGCGCTACTGAGCTGGGCTGTGTGCATCCATAAGTGCGCTACTGAGCTGGGCTGTGTGCATTCATAGGTGCGCTACTGAGCTGTGTGCATCCATAGGTGTTCTACTGAGCTATGTGCATCCATAGGTGTGCTACTGAGCTGTGTGCATCCATAGGTGCGCTACTGAGCTGTGTGCATCCATAGGTACGCTACTGAGCTGGGCTGTGTGCATCTATAGGTGCGCTACTGAGCTAGGCTGTGTGCATCCATAGGTACGCTACTGAGCTGGGCTGTGTGCATCTATAGGTGCGCTACTGAGCTGGGCTGTGTGCATCCATAGGTGTGCTAGTGAGCTGGGCTGTGTGCATCCATAGGTGTTCTACTGAGCTGGGCTGTGTGCATCCATAGATGTGCTAGTGAGCTTGGCTGTGTGCATCCATAGGTGCGCTACTGAGCTGGGCTGCGTGCATCCATAGGTACGCTACTGAGCTGTGTGCATCCATAGGTGCGCTACTGAGCTGGGCTGTGTGCATCCATAGGTGCGCTACTGAGCTGGGCTGCGTGCATCCATAGATACGCTACTGAGCTGGGCTGTGTGCATCCATAGGTACGCTACTGAGCTGGGCTGTGTGCATCCATAGTTACGCTACTGAGCTGGGCTGTGTGCATCCATAGGTGCGCTACTGAGCTGGGCTGTGTGCATCCATAGGTACGCTACTGAGCTGGGCTGTGTGCATCCATAGGTGCGCTACTGAGCTGGGCTGTGTGCATCCATAGGTGCGCTACTGAGCTGGGCTGTGTGCATCCATAGGTGTGCTACTGAGCTGTGTGCATCCATAGGTGCGCTACTGAGCTGTGTGCATCCATAGGTGTGCTACTGAGCTGGGCTGTTTGCATCCATAGGTGCGCTACTGAGTTGTGTGCATCCATAGGTGCGCTACTGAACTATGTGCATCCATAGGTGCGCTACTGAGCTGGGCTGTGTGCATCCATAGGTGTGCTACTGAGCTGGGCTGTTTGCATCCATAGGTGCGCTACTGAGCTGTGTGCATCCATAGGTGCGCTACTGAGCTGTGTGCATCCATAGGTGCGCTACTGAGCTGGGCTGTGTGCATCCATAGGTGCGCTACTGAGCTGGGCTGTGTGCATTCATAGGTGTGCTACTGAGCTGTGTGCATCCATAGGTGTGTTACTGAGCTATGTGCATCCATAGGTGCACTACTGAGCTGGGCTGTGTGCATCTATAGGTGCGCTACTGAGCTGGGCTGTGTGCATCCATAGGTACGCTACTGAGCTGGGCTGTGTGCATCTATAGGTGCGCTACTGAGCTGGGCTGTGTGCATCCATAGGTGTGCTAGTGAGCTGGGCTGTGTGCATCCATAGGTGTGCTACTGAGCTGGGCTGTGTGCATCCATAGATGTGCTAGTGAGCTTGGCTGTGTGCATCCATAGATGCACACAGCCTGGTAAGCCCTGCCCCCTCTCACTCCTCACAGGAGTCTGATTGACAGCAGCAGGAGCCTATGGCTCCTGGTCTCCTGTGAGAGATCAGGAAGAGGGGAGAATGTTTGAGGGCAGCGCTGGATTGTGAGATGAGTCAGGTATGTGTTTTAGGGATTAGTGGGGGGGGGGGGGACAAGTAGTGAGGATTTTTTTACCTTAATGCAGAAAATGCATTAAGAAAAAAAAGTTTTGCTATTAAAATCACTTTAACACTAAAAAGGTATCTTCTATTGCTTTCAGCCTTCTCCAAAACTCCAAATTCAGTGATTATTTAGCTAGCCAGAGGTGATGTCATCAGTCTGCTGCAGGCAGAAGGAAGCATTTCCTCAGTCTCCACTCCCCCAGTCATCACAGTGCAACACTGTAGGTAACAGGTCACAAGGTGGGAGGCTGCAACAGAGGCTGATCTGTGTCAGATATTTGTGAACACAGCCAACAACTGCACAAGCACGAGGATTTGCATGATTGCTTCTTATATTTACAGCATGAAAACTGTGAATGAGAAACGTCTTTTGCCTATAGCAACCAATAAGAAAGTTTAAAGTGGTTGTAAAGGCTGAAGGTGTTTTACTTTCATGCATTGTATGCATGAAGGTTAGAAACTGTGTGTAGCAGCTCCCCCTAACACTTGCCTGAGACCCATCCCGATTCAGCAATGTCCACGAGAGACTCAATTCTCCAGGGACTCTCACTTCTGATTGGCTGAGCCAATGGCTCCCACTGCTGTCAATTATGGCTAGTGAGCCAATCAGGAGAGGGAGGGGGAGGGGACAAGCCACCACTCTGTGTGTGCAAGGACACGCAGAGCTGCAGCTCGGGAATGCGCCTGCTCTGATGCCTCCATAGCAAGCTATTTGCTATGGAGGCACCCGAAAGGAGGGAGGGGCAAGGACCGCTGGTGGGGGACCCTGAGAAGAGAAGGATCATGACTGCTCTGTGCAAAACCATTACACAGTGCAGGTAAATATAACATGTTTGTTATTTTAAAAAAAAAAACTAAAGAAGAACAATACTTTACTATCACTTTAATTTTTATCTTTGCACTGGAGATATGACAGTTGTCCTCCAAAGGATGTTTGATCCTGTCTTCTCTGCTCCTCCTTTTGTTCAAATGTCCATGTCTTATCTCCTGAACCCTTAGCCAAATGCACATGCTCGGTTTGGTGTGTATTGCTACAGAGGTTTTTTTTTTTTTCTTGGGAGAGTGCATGTGATCAGCACAGGGCCAATCAGCACTGTAGAGACAGAGGTCAGGGGTCTTGCATCCTCCTAGACCAGAAAGAAAACTCCTCCTACAAGCTTTAACCAGTGTTCTGCAGAAGTCACAAGACTGCTCTAATTGCTGATGAAAAAAAGGTATTTAGCAGTTTATATTTACTAAAATAATTGCATTTCCATGTTGTGTGTACTGTGGGAGAGCAGATATAGTGAATGCAGGGTCCGGGGAGACCGGATATAGTGAATGCAGGGTCCGGGGAGACCAGATATAGTGAATGCAGGGTCCGGGGAGACCAGATATAGTGAATGCGGGGTCCTGGGAGACCAGATATAGTGAATGCGGGGTCCGGGGAGACCAGATATAGTGAATGCAGGGTCCTGGGAGACCAGATATAGTGAATGCAGGGTCTGGGGAGACCAGATATAGTGAATGCAGGGTCCGGAGAGACCAGATATAGTGAATGCAGGGTCCTGGGAGACCAGATATAGTGAATGCAGGGTCCTGGGAGACCAGATATAGTGAATGCAGGGTCCGGGGAGACCACATATAGTGAATACAGGGTCTGGGGAGACTGGATATAGTGAATGCGGGGTCCGGGGAGACCAGATATAGTGAATGCAGGGTCCAGGAGACCAGATATAGTGAATGCAGGGTCCGGGAGACCACATATAGTGAATACAGGGTCTGGGGAGACTGGATATAGTGAATGCAGGGTCCTGGGAGAGTAGATATAGTGAATGCAGGGTCCGGGGAGACCGGATATAGTGAATGCAGGGTCCGGGGAGGCCGGATATAGTGAATGCAGGGTCCTGGGAGACCAGATATAGTGAATGCAGGGTCCGGGGAGACCGGATATAGTAAATGCGGGGTCCGGGGAGACCAGATATAGTGAATGCAAGGTCCGGGGAGACCACATATAGTGAATACAGGGTCTGGGGAGACTGAATATAGTGAATGCAGGGTCCTGGGAGAGCAGATATAGTGAATGCAGGGTCTGGGGAGACCGGATATAGTGAATGCAGAGTCCGGGGAGACCGGATATAGTGAATGCAGGGTCCGGGGAGACCGGATATAGTGAATGCAGGGTCCGGGGAGACCGGATATAGTGAATGCAGGGTCCGTGGAGACCGGATATAGTGAATGCAGGGTCCGTGGAGACTGGATATAGTGAATACAGGGTCCAGGGAGACCGGATATAGTGAATGCAGAGTCCGGGGAGGCCAGATATAGTGAATGCAGGGTCCTGGGAGACCAGATATAGTGAATGCAGGGTCCGGGGAGACCAGATATAGTGAATGCAGGGTCCGTGGAGACCGGATATAGTGAATGCAGGGTCCGGGGACACCGGATATGGTGCATGCAGGGACCTGGGAGACCAGATATAGTGAATGCAGGGTCCTGGGTTTAGTAACACTTTAAATGCATTTTTAAAGCAAGCAGTCTATGTAGCTGAATGTGACCTGGTATCAGCCTCTTGCAGTCCCTAAACAGCAGTGCTGGAGTGTGAGCGGAAGAAGCAGCCCAGGGAGTCAATGTGCTGACAAGAAGCATGCTGATAGGAGGAGAGAGCTGAGTGACAAAAAGATCAGCTCACTACTGTGCTGCTTCTTCTTTCACTTTCCAGTCATGGGATAACCTAGGCTCACAGGACTTGACATCCAACCAAGCACATCTAATTGCAGAAAAAAATACTGTGGGGAATGTTTCTGAATTAAATATGAATATAATATAGAAAAAAAAAGAATATTAGAGTCACATGACCGAATTAGAGAGTCTTATCCTTGTGTTAAAGTGGAATTACAGGCAAAAAATGAAAAAAAAAAATTGGGAACAGGCAACCTCTGTATTGCAGAATAGACATGCCATTGGATTGATTTACTAAAGACACACAAACTGGGTACTTTGCAGGTGTATTTGCACTCATTTTCCCCAGAGCTTACTGAATGTGGTGAAGTGCTGCTACTTTCCATCATCAAATCATGTGCAAGAAAAAATGCTGTTTTTTAAAAAATATTTTCCTTCTACCTGATTGAGATTCTTTACAAAGTGAAGCTTCACCACATTCACTATGGAGTTGATTTACTAAAGACAAATAGACTGTGCACTCTGCAAAGTGCAATTGCTCAGAGCTTAGTAAATGCGGTGAAGCTTCACTTTGCACTTTTGCCACTTTAACTTTGCAAAGAATTCTCAATCATGTGCAAGGAAAATAAAAAAACAAACTATATTTTGCTTGCACATGATTGGATGATGAACATCAGCAGAGCATCTGCTAATTTACTAAGCTCTGGAGCAACTGCACTTTTCAAAGTGCACAGTCTATTTGCCTTTAGTAAATCAACACATAAAAATGATTCCTCTTTAACCATTTCAATACCGGGCAATTTTACCCCTTCCTGCCCAGGCCAGTTTTCAGGTTTCAGCGCCCTCACATTTTGAATGACAATTGCGCGGTCATACAACATTGTACCCAAACTAAAATTTTATCATTTTCTTCACACAACTAGAGCTTTTTTTTTGGTGGTATTTAATCACCGCTGGAGTTTTTATTTTTTGCTAAATTAACAAAAAAATACAAAATATTTTGAAAAAAAAAAAAGTTTTTTCTTTGTTTCTGTTATAAAAGTTTGCAAATAAATAATTGTTCTTCATAAATTTAGGCCGAGATGTATTCTGCTACATGTCTTTGGTGAAAATAACCCAAATTAGGATGTATTTTTTAGTTTGTAGGAAAGTTATAGAGTTCACAAACTATGGTATAGATCTGAATATAGATCAATCCTGAAGTACTGACAGCCAATCTAATTTCTTGAGGTCCAAGAATGTCAGAATAGTACAGATATCCCCCAAATGACCCCTTTTTGCAGAGTAGACAGTCCGACGTACTTCATAAGAGGCATGGCGAGTTTTTTGAAGTTGTATTTTTTTGTCAAAAGTTTTCGGAAAATTAAAAAATTAAAAAAAATTATTTTCACTATTTTTTTTTTACATACTGTCACCAGTGCAGTACAGCGTCATCATATAACTGGCATGGCGGTGAACAGGGACACTGACTGGTGACAGTATGAAAAAAAAAATATATATATATATTTTTTTTTTATTATTTTTAATTTTTTATTACTTTTTTTTAAGATTTTGTTTTCATATTTTACTATGACCAAAGTAGTACAATGTTACCATAGTAACAACATTGTACTACTTTGGGGAAGTGATCAGTATTTATTTTTTTTTTACACAATTTGCTTATAGCAAAGACTTTGCTATAAGCCAGCATTTACCTGAATGACATCGATTCATTCAGGGTTTTTTTTTTGTGCTTAGCTGTGATTTGGCCACAGCTAATCACATGACATGTGCATGTGACCTGCTGTGACCATTCACAGCTAGGCACTAGTATACAATGGATGGCATGAATGAAGCCATCCATTTACAACTGTCATGTGACCTGCTGTGATTGGTCAAGCGGGGGCCGGGGGCCGGTACTCAGATCTGTCATCGGCCGTGTCCGAGGTATACGGCCGGTGACAGATCGCGCCGCTGCGCGGCTCAGCAACTGCGCGAACTGCACATGTGTGGGAGCACGCCGAATGGCGTGCACCTGGAAAGCTGAAGCATTTTTGCGGCCGCCAAATGGCTATAGGCCGGGCAGCTAATGGTTAATACTGGCAAGGGTGCTAACAATGAACAGCTTTTATTTATTTATGTAAAACCTTTAGGGGCCTTTCACACGAGCGGACCGATGGGGTCTGCCTGTCTGTTTTACAGGCGGACCTGATCGGCCCATCCATAGACTTATATAATAGTCAGCTGCAGGGACAGACTGACCATTTGGAAACTCAGGCACTGCCCGAGGGCCCGGGGTCAGTAGGGGGCCCCTGAGATGCCCCTGGTACCTTTTTCATAGGCTTTTTTGAGTTTGGGCAAGGACACAGGGGCCCCATGATCCCCTATTTCCCGGGGGCCCCATGAGTTGTCAGTCCGCCCCTGGGGAGGGGTTTAGGGTTATGTGACCGCCATGATTGGCGGTCACATGATTGGAAAGCTCTCGATCTCAAATAGCGATTGGGGACTTTTTTTGTGAGGCGCCAGTAAACATGTCAGAAGCACGCACGGCATGCTCCCGACACGTTTATTTACATTGACTACGCAATTATGTGGCCTCTCCGTGTCAAGGCCCAGCTGCCAAGAGGCCGCATATTTGCGTACCATTGGAGCCAAGGAGTTAATAGGAATAACACAGCAAAAAAGTAAAAGGCAACTGGAATAAAAAAAAAAATAAAATGGAGTGCAGGGATGTTCATTACCCACCGACGTAAGTGATTCCAAAAAACAGTCACATTCAAAGCATGCTGAAAATTATAACTGTCACAGTTGCTTGTGACTGAACTGTCAAGCCGTTAAATGGCCGGTGTCATAACTGATCACATGTGCAGCACCATGGCAACTGCAGATCAAACAGAGACCAAGATGGCAGCTTCCTTGGCTGTACAGCAGGGGTCTCCATGCAGTGGTCCATGGACCACATCCAGCTCGCTTCCAGATTTTATCTGGCCTGCAGCTCAGGTCAGTGATGTATCCGCTGTGTGCGCTGACTGATGATCAGGTCAGCAGAAGATGATTTTGGTCTCTGCTTCTACTCTTGATCTGATGTACGGGGTACAGCGCTGCACACAGCCGCAGCCTGTCATTGATTGGCAGAGCTCCTGTATGCAGACACCTGTCATTGATTGGCAGAGCTCCTGTACGCAGACGCCTGTCATTGATTGGTAGAGCTCCTGTACGCAGACGCCTGTCATTGATTGGCAGAGCTCCTGTACGCAGACACCTGTCATTGATTGGCAGAGCTCCTGTACGCAGATCCTGTCATTGACCGCAGAGCTCCTGTACGCAGACGCCTTTCATTGATTGGCAGAGCTCCTGTATGCAGAAGCCTGTCATTGATTGCAGAGCTCCTGTACGCAGACATCTGTCATTGATTGGTAGAGCTCCTGTACGCAGACACCTGTCATTGATTGGCAGAGCTCCTGTACGCAGACATCTGTCATTGATTGGTAGAGCTCCTGTACGCAGATGCCTGTCATTGATTGGCAGAGCTCCTGTATGCAGACGCCTGTCATTGATTGGCATCCTGTACGCAGACACCTGTCATTGATTGGCAGAGCTGTACGCAGACGCCTGTCATTGATTGGTAGAGCTCTTGTACGCACACACACCTGTCATTGATTGGCAGAGCTCCTGTACGCAGACGCCTGTCATTGATTGGCAGAGCTCCTGTACGCAGACACCTGTCATTGATTGGCAGAGCTCCTGTACGCAGACATCTGTCATTGATTGGTAGAGCTCCTGTACGCAGACACCTGTCATTGATTGGTAGAGCTCTTGTACGCAGACACCTGTCATTGATTGGCAGAGCTCCTGTATGCAGACGCCTGTCATTGATTGGCAGAGCTCCTGTACTGAGACACCTGTCATTGATTGGCAGAGCTCCTGTACGCAGACATCTGTCATTGATTGGTAGAGCTCCTGTATGCACACACCTGTCATTGATTGGTAGAGCTCTTGTATGCACACACCTGTCATTGATTGGCAGAGCTCCTGTACGCAGACACCTGTCATTGATTGGCAGAGCTCCTGTACGTAGACACCTGTCATTGATTGGCAGAGCTCCTGTACGCAGACACCTGTCATTGATTGGTAGAGCTCTTTATGCAGACACCTGTCATTGATTGGCAGAGCTCCTGTACACAGACACCTGTCATTGATTGGCAGAGCTCCTGTACGCAGACACCTGTCATTGATTGGCAGAGCTCCTGTACGCAGACACCTGTCATTGATTGGCAGAGCTCCTGTGCGCAGACACCTGTCATTGATTGGCAGAGCTCCTGTACGCAGACACCTGTCATTGATTGGCAGAGCTCCTGTATGCAGACATCTGTCATTGATTGGCAGAGCTCCTGTATGCACACACCTGTCATTGATTGGTAGAGCTCCTGTACGCAGACACTTGTCATTGATTGGTAGAGCTCCTGTACGCAGACGCCTGCCATTGATTGGCAGAGCTCCTCTATGCAGACACCTGTCATTGATTGGTAGAGCTCCTGTACGCAGACGCCTGTCATTGATTGGCAGATCTCCTGTACGCACACACCTGTCATTGATTGGCAGA